ACAAAAAAAAAAACAATGTATTTGATACGAACGAATTACTGTTTGTTTTTACTAATGATTTTATAACCTATTTCGTATTTAAGGATTGTCTGTTGTACCTATAATAGTCCTAAATCTTTATCGAAGTCGAAAGAACCTTAAATAAGGGGATAGGCCGATGGAAATGTATAAGGTGTAAGTTATCCGTTTTTTTTTTTTTGTTTGTTTGTTTTTTTCGTTTAACTTTAAAATCACAAGTTGGTTTAGAAAGATAATTCGAAACAGAAAAGGTTGAATGACAAAGAGAAAGAAAATATGATTGATGATTGAGGTGAAAAGGGGGAAGAGAACTGAAGGGAAGTTGGAAGTGGTAAACGAAGAGGATATAAGTAAACGGAGACAGTGAATGATAAAGGGGGGAGGAAGGTAGAGAGAGAGAGAGGGGGGGGGGTAATATGAAAGATAAACTTCTTACAAATATCTCTCCCACATTATTTACGCTAAACTCTTTGGCTAAATCGGCAAGTTGCAAGTAAATCTGTCCAGCATTCCTGTCTGTTGTGAATTTGTTCATTAGACTAATAACACGAGCTCTGGATTCGTGGCTTTCTGAAATCATACTTTGGCTCCAAGACATGATTTTACCGATTCAGGATGTAAGAATCGGATCCATCTGACTTTTCATCTATATACTTACACACACACACACACACACACACACACACACACACACACACACACACACACACACAATAATAATTACCTACGCCGAGGAGGTTATGTTTTCGACGGCGTTGGTTTGTTGGTTTGTTTGTTAGCAGCCTAGCTCAAAAAGTGCTGGCCGGATTTCATCGAATTTTTGGGGACAAGAAAGGGACTAACTTAGAACTGATTACATTTTGGTGACATACCGAACCAGAAAAGCACTCAGAGAGTGCAGACCTCCGCCAAGGTGCGCATATAATGTACTTACACCGCTGCTGCGTCCAGACGGTAATTCGGAATGTCAGTGAAATGTAGCACACGTTTACCGTAGATTTGTGTACCGAACTTGTTACCACCTTTATTGATTAAATAATGATAATGATAATAATAACCAGACGGTAATTCGGAATGTCACCAAAATTTAATCAGTTCTAAGTTAGTCCCTTTCTGACTTGTCCCCAAAAAATCGATGAAATCCGGCCAGCACTTTTTGAGCTAGGCTGCTAACAAGCAAACCAACAAACCAACGCCGTCAAAAACATAACCTCCTTGGCGGAGGTAATTACCGTCTGGTTGTTATTATTATTATCATTATTTAATCAATAAAGGAAGTAACAAGTTCTACGGTTAACGTGTGCCACATTTTACTGACATTCCGAATTACCGTCTAGACGCAGCAGCGTCTTTTCTAGTTGTCATTGTTTTCTTTTAACTGATATCCACATTATAGAATTGTAATCCAGTCATGCTTTTATTTTGCATAGATGCTCTGATTTCACTGCTGTGTTGTTTCCATGGTTATTGTTATCAGTAGTTGCTTTTATTTACATATTTTTATCGATTCTAAGTCTACTTTATGTATAGTTTATATCTTAACTCTTCATAAAAAAAACTCTCTGAATACATTTGTCGTTTCTGTTTTGTATTTTCTTTCGAAATCCTTCACGCTTATTCAATAAACCCTTAGTTCTATGTCATTGGGTGAGGTTATACCCGTTTCACCGCTGTGTAGTACAAACTTCTTCATTGTTATACATTGCCAGGGATTACAAGAGGGAGGGAGAGGGAGAGGGAAGCGTTGGAGTGGGGAAGGGACAGGGAGAAGGGGTAGGAGTGGGAGAAGATGATGAAGAAGTAGAAGGAGAAGGAGAAGAAAGAGAGGGATAAGGGCGTGGACAAGGACAGAGAGAGTGAAAGAGAGAGGGCGTGAGAGAGTGTGAAAGAGAGAGAGAGACGAGTGAGAAAGAGAAATAGAAGGGGATCCTTTTAAGTGTAAGAGTCCCCCTTTCCTTTCCCCCCACGAATTAACTTATGCTAGTGACATTTGTGACATCGACAAACACTACTGACGGTAAATAAAACGCAATGGAATATCTTTGCATTTGCTTTGTGTAGTATGTATACATAAAATGTAGTGCAGACATCTTTATATGCATTCAGTAAGACTTTACTGATAATGATACTTCATACATACTTCCTGTAATCTTAAGAATGTGTTTCTATTCAGATCTAAAAAAGAAAACTACAAGTACTCCTAATCATAATGCTGTTAATGATAATAATGACAATGGTAGTAATATGAATAATAACAATAGCAATAATAATCATAATAACTATAACAGTAATAACAATAATTATAACGAAGAGGAAATGACATTTGAAATAATAAGAATTTTTGTTAGTTTTAGAAATAGGTCAAATGCTTTTATGAACATTTTGTTTTACTGTTGGTATCTCATTTGCAATAAGACAATATAAATAAATACCAGAATGAAGTGTAAAAATATATAAACAGTATAAATGCATGTTTACACTATATGAACATAAAAAAAAGAAAAAAAATTAGGAGAAAAAAAGAGGGGAATTTTTATAGATATAATCCTACGAACATCAGCCATCAATTCTACCACCAAGCTACTAACACATTCAACACTAAGACGCCCCCCCCCCATCGTGTACTAAATTTGACCTAAGAACCCTCTATATACCAAATTTGACCCAAGAAACACTCCATGTACTAAATTTGACCCAAGAAACACTCCATGTACTAAATTTGACCCAAGAAACACTCCATGTACTAAATTTGACCCAAGAACCCTCCATGTACTAAATATGACCCGAGTATCACCCATATACTAAATTTGACCCCGGAGCCACATTTGTACCAAATATGACAAATAAACCATCCATGTACCAAGTCTGACCAAAGAACCCTGTGTACAGAACTTGTCCAAAAAATCCTCTGTGTACCAAATATGACCCAAGAACCATCTGTGTGCCGAATACCCCTCCCTGTACCAAATTTTACCCAAGAACCTTCCATGTACTAAAGTTGACCCAAGAACCCTCTGCGTACCAAATTTGAGCTAAGGACCCTCGTGTATCAAATTTGACTCACGAACCATCCATGTACCAAATCTGACCCAAGAACCCTCTATTTACCAAATCTAAAAAAATGAACCATCTGTGTACCAAATTTGACCCAAAAACCATCCATGTACTAAATTTGACCCAAAAAACCATCAATGTACTAAATTTGACCCAAAAACCATCCTTGTACCAAATTTGACCCAAAAACCATCCTTGTACCAAATTTGACCCAAAAACCATCCATGCACCCTTCACCCTTGCCTCGAGGAGAGCCAGAGGACAACAATGACCTCCAGAGTGAAAGTGAAGGTGCTGAAAATGAGGCCCAGGAGGAGGAGTATGAGAGGGCCCTGAAGGTGAACGAGAGTGAGGGGCTTCTCACTGTTCCTGTCAGTCTCCGCCACCGCCGTTTCTTCCTCCTGCTGCTGCTGTTGGTTCCGTTGGCGCTGCTGTCTTTCCTTGCTCTCTTGGCGTGCTCTGTCGATCATTATTTCGGCCCATTTCTCGTAAAGACCGGCCTGAGGGAGAGGGAGAGGCTGAATTGGTTTCGTTTGAGGAGTGTTTTAGGTTGTGAGATGGTTCTATGTATGGTAAAATAATTTTGTATGATTTTACTTTTTTGTGGGGGTGGGAGGGGTGGGGGCATAAAACCTTCGAAGGATAAGATAGGTTGAGTTGATTTTGATCCTTAAAATGATTCTTGAATTTAAATTGACTGTATATACAAAAGTAATATTGAAATAATTTTGGTAAAATACATTGTGGTGGAAGTCTAAACGTGGCTCGTCATTTCACACGTGATAATTTTACAATAATGGTGAAGACGTCATAACTTTCCTTCTGCATTGCACACTGAAAACATTCTGTTACTGCAACAAGCTCAACAATACTACTAGTATTACCTAATTCGCTGTCAATATCATTAACATTACCATCAACAGTACTACCGCCATCACAACACCGCAACACCAACAAGCACCTTATTCACAACCACTTTCCCCAACACCACACCACCAACCCCTCTCACACCACACCACCACCAACCACTCTCTCACCACCAACCCCTCTCACATCACCAACCACTTTCCCAACACCACACCACCAACCCCTCACACACCACACCACCACCAACCACTCTCACACCACCAACCATTTTCCCAACACCACACCACCAACCCCACTCACACCACCAACCACTTCCCGAACACCACCGGGCACCCCACCCGCCGGAAAAACCCACCCACCTCAAGTACAGCTATGATATTACGATCCAAGACGTGTTTATAAGGGGCGTCGTGAGGTATGGGCCAGCCAGAGGGAGCCGGGAACACGCTGTCTCGCCCTAAGTACAGTCTCGTCTCCCCGTTGGCGTCCGTGAAACTCTCGGCTATCATGTGTTGTACGTGGCGCCGCCCACTCATCACGGCTTGTCTAGAGGGAGGGGAGGGAAGAGGAGGGGGAGGTGGGAGGAGGAGTGGAAGGGAAAAAAAGGAGGTGGAGGAGGGAGAGTGAAGGAGGACAAGGAGGAGGAGGTGTGGGAGGGAGAAAAAGGAGGAGGAGGAGGGAGGGTGAAGGAGGAGAAGGAGGAGGAGGAGAAGGGAGGGTGAAGGAGGAGGAAGAGGAGGAGGAAGAGGGAGAGACACAGGAGGAGGTGCGAAGGACGGAGCAGCAGCAGGAAGGGGGAGATGTGGCATTACTTTGGGTATTGTTTTTTTTTTTTTTTTTTTTTTTTTTTTTTTTACACACACTCACGTTAAAGGCACTAGGATCAAAATAAGAAAATATAATAAATAAATAAACCAAATCGAACCCCTTCCAAAAAAAAGATAGATAAATAGATAGATACAACAACGACAATAATGATAATAATAATAATTATTATTATTATTACTATTATAATAATTATTATTATTATTATAACAAGAACAACAACAGCCATGAATTCTCTAACACCCAGACGAAGCAACTCGAACGCACTTCCCCTGCGTAGCGCCCGTCAGTCCCTCCATCACCGACGGTCCGATCACCATAAGATCCGCTGCCCGATTGAAGATAATGGAATCTGATGCCTTGAAGAAACGACGGTGATCCTCTCCGTAGGGCGGCATGGCGATTCTGATCGTATAAATGCGATTAACTCAGTTTGATTGGGTGAAGTGGAAAGAGTTTATGAAAGATAGTTCGAGTATTAATGAATGTATCTCCTAACAGGTCTAGTGGTGAATAAAATGGAGAAGTATTTCTGATGGAGGGAATATATTTTGTTTTCAAGGTGTGGAAACGCAGATGTAAGGTCCCGGAAGAAGATAGAGAATGAGGAAAGAAATGAAAATCAGGATAAAATAATTGTTTAAACCGATGGACATAATGCCTAGAAGGAATTAAATAACGAAACGCCGTGGATATTAGTCCGGCACCGGATTTCATCACATTTTGGCTATTCGTCCGGCACGCATGCGCATTAACTATTTGCGCACGAACACACGCTCATCAGAACAAACGTTGGCGCCATTTTTTTATGGTTGTGGATCTGAATTCTTGTGTAGGATACTTACACAAAGACTAAACTTAACAGTCTTGTAACTACAGTATGCTGATCTGCTATGTTGATATTTATCATTTTAAGCACATTCAAACAAGATTGTCCAGCAGAAATAAGACCCGACATAACCTAACCTAACCTAACCAAACCACCTAACCTAAGATAAGCTAACCTAACCTAACCTACCTAATCTAACCACCTAACCTAACCCACCTAACCTAATCACTTAAACTAACCACCTAACCTAACCTACCTAACCTAACCACCTAACCTACCTAACTTAACCTAACCTAACCTAACCACCTAACCTACCTAACTTAACCTAACCTAACCAAACCTAACCTAACTTAACCTAACCTAACCTAACTTAACCTAACCTAACCTACCTAACTACCTAACCTAACCTAACCACCTAACCTTTCCTAACCACCTAACTTAACCTAACCACTAAACCTAACCTAACCTAACCACCTAACCTAACCTAACCACCAAACCTAACCTAACCACCAAACCTAACTAACCTAACCACCAAACCTAACCTAACCTAACTAACCTAATCTACCAACCCAACCCAACCCTCTGCTATCACCCTCTATCTACCTCTGCTATTTATTTTCCACACGGGGACCTTGGGACCTTGGGACCTCTGAAAACAAACAAATTTGCCGAATAATGACAAGCTGGAGATTTTCAATAAAATGGCAAACAAAAATTGCATCCTGCAATATTGCTAGGAAAATAGCTCTACAGGATAGGTGTCCGACAGAAAATGCCGGAAAAATATCCCAGGAGACGATATATAACAACGAAATTCGCGCAAATAGTTAATGCGTGCCGGAAGAATAGCAAAATGTGATAAGATCCGATGCCGGACGAATTTCAACGGCGTTTCGTTATTTAATTCCTTTTAGGCATTACGCCCATCGGTTTAAACAATTATTTTATCCTGATTTTCATTTCTTTCCTCATTCTCTATCTTCTTCCGTGACCTTACATCTGCACTTGAAAACAAAACATAACGAAAAGTGTGAGGGATAAATTTCAAGAGGACTTCAAAGCTGTTATTTTTTCAATATAGTTATGTATGTTTTTTTTCTTTCTTTCTTTCTTTCTTTCTTTCTTTCTTTGTGCCAACGAACGAGGAATCGAAATCAGGAAAAAAAAGAAAAGAAAATGGAATGCCGATAATGAAAACGAGAAACCAATAAAGAAAACTATATTCCAAAAAGGGAGAGGGGGAACTAACATAACAAGACAGATATCCATTTCTTCCCTTTCTCTCTCTCTCTCTCTCTCTCTCTCTCTCTCTCTCTCTCTCTCTCTCTCTCTCTCTCTCTCTCTCTCTCTCTCTCTCTCTCTCTCACTTTCTCTCTCTCTCTCTCTCTCTCTCTCTCTCTCTCTCTCTCTCTCTCTCTCTCTCTCTCTCTCTCTCTCTCTCTCTCTCTCTCTCTTCAACTTCCTTACGCATCTACGGCGGTGAGGAGGTCGGCCAGCGTCTCAGGCCTCGGCGGGTACTTGGGCAGCATGAGTGACGCCGTCAGATTCCCTCGGTAGATGGCGACCACCACTAGGGAGAAGACCAGCCAAGTCCCAACCAGGACTCGAGTGGAAGCTCTCCTGGGTAGCCCTTGAGGGGGACACTGCCCGAGGAGCATCCCTATGAAGTCCTGGGCGACCCTTCCTAGCTTCGTTCGCCACGCCCTTGCCCCGCTCTCGTCCTCCTCCTCCTCCGCTTCTCCCACGGGCCAGAGGCGGGTGATCTGGGGGGCGTGGAAGGGGGAGGGCGTTGGTTACGAGAGGTTTTAATGAGGGTCTGTGTGTCTGGTTTTTGTTTGTCTGTCTGTTTGCTTGTCTAGCTTATTTTTTTCTGGCGGTGTCTCTGTGTCTGTTTGTTTTTCGATCCCTTTCATTTTTTTCCTCTCTCTCTTCCTGTCTCATCTCTCTCTCTCTCTCTTTACCCTTAATATCCTGTAACTCTGATGCCCATCTCCCTCCTTTCCTCTAACAATTCCTATCTTTTTATTTCACCCATCCCTCCCTTCCTTCCTCCCCCCTCCACCCCCTTCTGCCCCATCCCCCCGACCCAACCCCTTATCACCCCACCCCCTTATCCTCCCTTATCCCCCCATCCCTTTTTCCCCCCACCCACCCCTTTCTCTCCCTCCCCCTCCCTACTCACCCCGAACGCCACCAGCGGGACGACCACCACCGCCGCAAGAATCGCCGCCCACACCTCGTCGGTCAGCGGGTAGTAGAGACTCTGCCAGCGGGGCTTGAGGAAGGGCTTGGCCAGACTGAAGGACAGCTGCGCCAACTCGTAGGTGTAGGTGAAATCGTAGCGGTCCAGGCGGTCGGGGAAGACGATGTGGTAGATGGACGAGCAGAACGCCAGCCGCTCCTCGACGAGTCTCGTGGCCTGGAAGGGTAGGGGGAGGAGGTGAGGAGGGGGGTGGGTTGAAGGGGGGTGGGGGTCCTGTTGTTGTGATTGTAGTAGGAGTTAGAGTAGGTAGAGGAGGAGGAGCAGGAGGAATTAGGAAGAGAAGAAGGAGTAAGAATAAGATTAGGAATAACTGAAGGAGGGGGAGAAGGAGGAGGAATTAGGTAGGAGAAAGAGTAAGAGTAGGAGTAGGAATAAGATTAAGAGTGGGAGTTGGAGTAGATGAAGGAGGAGGAGGAGGAGGAATTAGGTAGGAGAAGGAGTAACAGTAGGAGTAAGAGTAAGAGTAAGAGTGAGAGTGGGAGGGGGGGTAGGTGGAGCTGGAAGAGGAGGAGGAGTAGTAGTAGTAGAAGTTGGCTAGTAGTAGTAGTAATAGTATGAGTAGTAAGAGCAGTTGTCGTAGAAGTAGAAGCAATATGAACAGGAGTAGTAATTGTAGTAGTTGTAGTAATGGTAGTGGTAGTAGTAGTGGAAGTAGCAGTAGCAGTAGTAGTAGTAGTAATAGTAGTAGTAGTAGTCGTAGTAGTTGTTATTATTCTTGTTGTCACTGTTTTGTTTTTATTATGTTTTATTGTTGTTGTAATTATTATCGTTATTGTTTCCTCCCCTCCCTTTGTTTCCCTCCTCCTCTCTCTCCTATTTCGTATTTCTCCATCCACCCATCCTCTCTCCCTAGTTCCTATCATCTTCCTTCTCTCTCTCTCTCTCTCCCTCTCTCTCTTTCTCTTTACGTTCTCCTTTATATCTCCTTCTTTGTCTGTTATTACTTTCTCTGCCTCCATTCTTCGTTCTCCATATGTCTTTCTTCACAATCGTTTTCTCATTTTCCTTTTTCCTCGATTCACCAGTTCCCTCACCTCCGACAGTGATTGAGGAAGATGGGGTAAGAGGGAAGAAAGAGGAAGGAAGAAGAGGAACATGAACACAAGGCTCCCTTCCATAGCCCCTCCTCTTTCCCTCCCTTCGTCCCTCCTCCATTCCCCCTCTCCATTCCTCCCCCCTCCATTCCCCCCTCCCTCCATCCCCCCTCCCTTTATTCTTCTCTCCTTTCCTCCCCCTCTTTCCATTCCCCATTTCCATTCCCCCCTCTTTTCCCTCTCTCCTTTCCTCCCCATTTTCCCATTCCCCCTTTCCATGCCCCCCTCTATTCCCTCTCTCCTTTCCTCCCCCTCCCTAATTCTTCCCCTCTCCCTCCACCTCTTCCCTCCGCCTTCCCCTCTCTCATATCCAACACGAAGACGACAGCATCCTCTTTTTCTCTCTCCATTTCCCTCCTCTTTCCTCCCTGTCCCCCTCGCTAAATCTCTCCCTCTCTCCTTCCCTTCTCCTTTCCTCCCCTCTCTGAATCTTCCCCTTCCTCCCCTTTCCTCCCTCTCCTTCCATTCCCCTCTATCTACTTCTTCCCCTCCCTCCATCTCTCTTCCTCCATTTCCCTGCCCTCCATCTCCTTCATTTTCCCTCTCCCTTCCTCCATCTCCCTTCTCCCTCCCTGCCCCCTCCATCCATCTCCTTCCTCCCTCCTCCTTCCCACCCTCCTCCAACACCCATATCCCTCCTTCCTCCATCCCTCTCCTCTCCCTCTTCCCTCCCTCCCTCTCCCCTCCCTCCATCTCCCTCCATCTCCTCCCTACCTCCTTCCTCCCCCTCCCTCCTCCTCCATCCATCTCCTACCTCCCTCCTCCCCCTCCCTCCTCCTCCACCCATATCCCTCCTCCCCCTCCCTCCCCCTCCACCCATCTTTCTCCATGTCCTTCCTCCCTCTTTCCCTCCCTTCCTCCTCCCTCCCTCCCTCCCTCCTCCCTCTCCCTCCCTCATCCCTCCACCCATCTTCCTTCATCTCCCTCCATCTCCCTCACCTCCGCCCACGACGCCACCGGCAGCATGCGGATGGTGAAGTTCAGTTTCCTCGCCAGCGTCTCGAGTAGCATGTAGTCAGTCCCCGTGTAGCGTTCCTCTTCGTCGCCGTCCTTTCCCTTCTCCTTGGTCACGTCCCAGAAGGGGAGGAAGGGCAGGGCAGTCACTCCGACCTCGGCGCCGTGGAAGCTGGAAGGGGGAAAGGGAGGGAGGGAGAGGGGAGAGGGAAAGGGAGGGGGAGGGGGATGGGCGAGGGAGAGGATGATAAAGTCATGGAAGTATAGTGAAAGGCAATATTTCGAAGTGTGTAAGTGAATATACTTTATAAGACTAGAAAAAAGTTAGTGAACACACTTTCTAAGACTAAAAGAAAGTAAATAAACACACTTTCTAAGACTTAAAAAAAGTAAGTGGATACACAACAATAACAACAACAACAAAAACAAAAACGAAATGTAATCATAATTAAAGAAGAAGAAGAAAAAACAAAATAAATAAAAAATATTACACCCCAGAGAAACGACTCCCCACGTCTAGCAGTCCAAGCGGCCACTCAAATCACCACAGCACTTCATGAATATAAAAAAGATATGTACTTAAACAGATAAACAGATAAATGAGAGAATAAATAAATAAAACAAATAAATGAAAGAATTAGTTAATAACAGATAAATGAATGAATAAGTTAATAAAACATATAAATAAAAATAAGTTATTAAAAACAGATAAATGAAAGAATAAATAGATAAAACAGAAAAATGAAAGAAATTGATAAAAACAGATAAATAAATGAATAAGTAAAAATAGATAAATGAAAGAATGATAAATAGAAACAGATAAATGAAAGAATAAGTTGATAAACACCGATAAACGAAAGAATAAATAAATAAAAACAGATAAATGAAAGAATAAGTTGATAAACACCGATAAACGAAAGAATAAATAATCAAAAACAGATATGTAAAGTAATATAATAATAAATACAGGTAAACACAATCCACAGCACTTCATTAAAAGAAATGTAAACAGATAAACAGATAAACGAAAGAGTAAATAAATAAAAACAGATAAACGAAAGAATATATTAATAAAAACAGATAAACAAAAGAATAAATAAATAAAAACAGATACACGAAAGAATGAATTAATAAAAACAGATAAACAAAAGAGTAAATAAATAAAAAACAGATAAACGAAAGAATAAGTTAATATAAACAGATAAATAAAAAAATAAGTTAATAAAACAAATAAATGAAATAATAAGTTCATAAAAACATAAATAAAAGAATAAGTAAAAACAGATAAACGAAAGAATAAGTTAATAAACATAGATAAATACGAGAATAAGTAAAAACAGATAAACGAAAGAATAAGTTAATAAACATAGATAAATACGAGAATAAGTAAAAACAGATAAACGAAAGAATAAGTTAATAAATACAGATAAATAAAATAATAAGTAAAAACAGATAAACGAAAGAATAAGTTAATAAAAACAGATAAACGAAAGAATAAGTAAAAACAGATAAACGAAAGAATAAGTTAATAAACATAGATAAATACGAGAATAAGTAAAAACAGATAAACGAAAGAATAAGTTAATAAAAACAGATAAACGAAAGAATAAGTTAATAAAACCAGATAAACGAAAGAATAAGTTAATAAAACCAGATAAACGAAAGAATAAGTAAAAACAGATAAACGAAAGAATAAGTTAATAAAACCAGATAAACGAAAGAATAAGTAAAAACAGATAAACACACTCCACAGCACTTCACAATAACAAGCAAACGACCCACTTCCTCCTTGAAAAAATTCGGTAAACTATCTATTTATCTATCGTGTTTTATCAGATTCCAGGTAAGAATAAGGGAAATAGAAGATAATTATTCAACGAAGCTTTTTAAGGAAAAAATCGTCCTCAGAGAAAATGAATAAATAATCTATCTATTAAATTATCTATCTGTCCATCTGTCTTTATTTGAATATAGAATGCGGTTAAGAAAAAAACTATCGGATAATTGAACGTATAAATCAATAAACAAGATGAATAACAAAATATAGCAGTAGACAAAGGGGATAATGAATTAATGGTTAAATAAAAGAGTGGATGGGTAAATAGATAAATCAATAAATAAAATAGATGAGTGAAAGAATAGATAAATAAAACGGATAAATGAAAGAATAGATAAATACTGAAAAAAATACATAAAAGAGACGAGTGAAAGAAAAAAACAACAGATAAATGAAAGAACAAATAAATAAAACAAGAGAAGAGAGAATGAATATATAAAACAGATAAATGAAAGAATAAGAAAATATCAAAATAAAATAGTAAATGAAACAAAAAAAAAAGACTAAATAAAAAAAACAGATAAATTAAGCAAATAATTAACACCTAAATAGAACCACAAACAAATAAAAATAAACAAATACAAAAAGGAAAAGCCTTAATATTACTCCAAGAATTTTTCGGGGAAGAGGCGACGGCCGGCTATGAGAGCGACGCCGCGACCCGCCGTCCAGCTGGCCACACGGCGCGATTTTTCCCCGTCCGGTCCGTAGGGCAGGTGGAGATACACGTCGTATCTGGAAGGAATGGGTTCTGAGGTGCTCTTTTTCCCTTTTTTTTTTTTTTTTTTTGTGAGGGTTTGTTTGTGGGTAGATTTTTTTGAAAAGCGTTTTAGATACACGTCATATTTTTAAGATATATGTCATATTTTTTTAGCGTTTTTAGACACACCGTCATTTTTTTCTCTCTCTCTTTTTATCATAAGACATTTTAACCCATAATGTGTTCGCCGCTAATGACCTTAGCTTCTGACGCGACGTCCATCTCCTCCAGCTTCCTTCCCTCCCTCCACCTTCCCTCCATCCCTCCCTCCTTCCCTCCATACCTGACCCCGCCCGCGTCTTCCCAAAGATTCAGAATGGCCGCGTTCATCATGGCGAAAGTCCAGTGAGCTTCCAAGAGCTTCTGGACCTCCTGTAGAGCTTGGCGGGTGACCAGGAGGAGCTTCGTCGACCAGACCAACAGGCGGCCTCGGAGTGACCTCTTGGCGAAGGCGTAGAGGAAGGTCAGGTCACGGCTGATCACCACAACGTTGGTGCATCGGTGGCTGAGGCGAATCTGGCGGGCGAGGGGGGAGGGGAGGGGAGGTGAGAGACCGTGATGTTTTTTTTGTGTGTGTAACTGTTTTTGTCTTGTTTGTTTGTTCGTCTACATGTTATTTTTTATGATGGAACTTCGTGTTTTGTTTTGTTTTTTTCGTATGATGTTTTACTTTTAGGTGATTTTTTTATATCCATTTTTTAAACTGTAATGGTTGAGTGTTATTGTTATTCGTTTGTCTCTTTGTCCTGTTCTTGTTATGACTGGGTTCTTTTATCTTTATTTTTAATTAATGTTTCTTGTCTTTGCTGCTCTTGTTTTTACCGAAAGGATTTATCTAATATATGAAATACTCGTTTTATCTGTAGAGATGTATTTGTTTAGCTGACTGTACTTGTTCTCACGGTCAGTGTCTATGTTAGTTTAGCGTTGTTTTTGCGTTGTAAATATGGGTGACAATTTAGACATGCTTAATAGTTTAATCCTTAATCATCATTAATTAAACATTGATCGCTATCAATCATTCTTAATTAAACGTTCATTCCTATCGATTGTCCTTAATGAAACATTTACCCCTATCAATCATCCGTAATTAAACATTTATCCCTATCAATCATCCGTAATTAAACATTTATCCCTATCAACTATCTTTAATAGAACACCCTTGTATATGCTTGACTAAACATCTTTACATATGCTTTAATTAAGCTGAATTTCCTCTTTCCTTGTGTTTTCGAGAATTCAATTTCTTTTTATATCGCTACTAATATCAGTGTTGTTATTCTCACTATTATTGACTTTGTGGTTATTATTAAGGCATTAGCAATATCAATAACAATAAAAAGAATTTTTTCAATCTTTCCGAGAATCAAGGAAAAGGGTTTAACAGAATAGAAAGGATTAGTAATTGACTCCTTGGTGACTAAATGACAATAATGATGATAAAACAATTACAATGGATAGTCTAAAATCACGATTGAGTTATGACACGTACGCCATGACACCCTGACAGAAATGACTAACGTTTTTATTTAGTACTTTTACGTACGTATTTCTGCCTGTTATTTACTTATGATATACTTAATACTTTTCCTTACCTGACGAGCTAAAGGAACCATCTGTGACAGCTGGTCTTCTGTCGCGTTGGCATCCCTGTCGCCATCTGCCACCCTGAAGATTCCCACGCCCCAAGTGGACAGGAAACCGGCCAGTTCCTAAGTAAGTAAATGGATGAATTGATTGATTAGGGAGGGTTTGGTTTATGATGTGTCTCTTTGCATAGTATTATCAGATACATGTACAGATACATACGTAAATGATATATATATACACACATACATGCATAAACAAGCGTGCGCGCACACACACACACACACACACACATACATCTATCACACACACATCCATATATATACATACATATATATATATATATATATATATATATATATATATATATATATATATATATATAGTATAGTACATGCATGCATACATACATACATACATATATATATATATATATATATATATATATATATATATATATATATATACATATATACATATATATACATATATATGTATATGTATATAGATATAAATGTATATGTATATGTATATATATGCATACATATATATAAATAAATATTTATATACGTACAACACACACACACATAACCCCCCCCCACACACACACACACGACACAAATACCCCCCACACCCCCCACCTACACACACAAACAGACACACACACACACACACACATAACCCCCCCCCCCCCACACACACACACACACACACACACACACACATAACCCCCCCCCCCCCACACACACACACACACACACACACACACACACACACACACACACACACACACACACACATACATCTATCACACACACATCCATATATATACATAACATATATATGTATATATATGTATATATATGTATATATATGTATATATATGTATATATATGTATATATATGTATATATATGTATATATATGTATATATATGTATATACATATGTATATATATGATATAATATGTAATATATATGTATATATATGTATATATATGTATATATATATATATATATATATATATATATAATATAATATAATATATTAGGTATAGATATGTATATAGTATATATAATAGATATATATATATAGTATATATATATTATATATACTATATATATATATATATTGGGGGGGGGGTGTTTGGTTTTAGGGACTTATATTTTAGTTGATTATTGTTGTTGTTATTGTTAGCCTTATTATAACCATTGATATTTTCATTATCATTATGATTATCACTATCATAATCATTGCTGTTATCATTTTCATAATCTTTGTTATTACTATTATTATTATTATTGTTGTTTTGTTGTTGTTGTTGTAGTTGTTATTATTATTATTATTATTGTTATCATCATTATTATTATTATCAATATTATTGCCATCGTTATTACCGTTATCATTATTGTTATTAGTACTATTACTATTATTATGATTATTATCATTATTACCGTTACCATTATCATTATCATTATTATTACCATATTACTGTTATCATTGTTATTACTATCGCTATTGTTATCATTACTATATTTTTATCATTACTATTACTATTATCACCATTGTCATTATCATCATCATAACTATGAGGATAATAATATTCAATTAAATTCTTTCTTACTTTTTACATCATATAATCAATACGATGCAGAACCAAGCTTGATAATTCATATGAAATATAAAATAATATCTAACAAAGACACGAAATATGGAAAGAAATTGACAAAGGCACAGATAAAGAAAGAGAAAGAGAGAGAAAGAGAGCGATAGAAAAACAAGATCACCGTTGAA